AAAGCCCTCCAAGGAAGGAATTCCCAGCACTCCCAGGTTTCCCAAAGCCCTCCAAGGAAGGAATTCCCAGCACTCCCAGGTTTCCCAAAGCCCTCCAAGGAAGGAATTCCCAGCACTCCCAGATACCACAGCACCCCACAGAAGGAACTCCCACCATCCCCAGGTACCACAGCCCTCCAAGGAAGGAATTCCCAGCACTGCCAGATACCACAGCACCCCACAGAAGGAACTCCCACCATCCCCAGGTACCAAAGCCCTCCAAGGAAGGAATTCCCAGCACTCCCAGCTTTCCCAAAGCCCTCCAAGGAAGGAATTCCCAGCACTCCCAGATACCACAGCACCCCACAGAAGGAACTCCCACCATCCCCAGGTACCACAGCACCCCAAGGAAGGAACTCCCAGCACGCCCAGGCACCAAAACCCTCCAAGGAAGGAATTCCCAGCACTCCCAGGCACCAAAGCACCCCGAGGAAGGATCTCCCACCATCCCCAGGTACCAAAGCACCCCAAGGAAGGAATTCCCAGTACTCCCAGGCACCACAGCACCCCGAGGAAGGAATTCCCACCATCCCCAGGCACCACAGCACCCCAAGGAAGGAATTCCCAGCACTCCCAGGCACCAAAACCCTCCAAGGAAGGAATTCCCACCATCCCCAGGTACCACAACACCCCAAGGAAGGATCTCCCAGCACTCCCAGGTTTCCCAAAGCCCTCCAAGGAAGGAATTCCCAGCNCAGGTTTCCCAAAGCCCTCCAAGGAAGGAATTCCCAGCACTGCCAGGCACCAAAGCCCTCCAAGGAAGGAATTCCCAGCACTCCCAGGTACCAAAGCCCTCCGAGGAAGGAACTCCCACCATCCCCAGGCACCAAAGCCCTCCAGGGAAGGAATTCCCAGCACTCCCAGGTTTCCCAAAGCCCTCCAAGGAAGAATTCCCAGCACTCCCAGGTACCACAACACCCCAAGGAAGGAATTCCCAGCACTCCCAGGTACCAAAGCACCCCAAGGAAGAAATTCCCAACACTCCCAGGTACCAAAGCACCCCGAGGAAGGAACTCCCAGCACTCCCAGGTTTCCCAAAGCACCCCAAGGAACTCCCAGCACTGCCAGGCACCAAAGCACCCCGAGGAAGGAACTCCCAGCATCCCCAGGTCCCACAGCACCTCACGGAAGAAATTCCAAGCACTCCCAGGTTTCCCAAAGCCCTCCAAGGAAGGAATTCCCAGCACTCCCAGGTACCCAAGCACTCCAAGGAAGGAACTCCCAGCATCCCCAGGTCCCACAGCACCCGGGGAGAGCCAGGGCTCACCTGCCCCGATCTCGGTGAACCACGAGGAGGCAGAGTTGAGGTTGATTGTCTCGAAGTGCACCACCTGGCCGGGCTGGCTGCCGCGGGAGATGGCCACGCACACCATGGGGTACTCCTGCTCCGGGATCACCAGCATCTCAAACACGTGCAGCGGGCTGGGCAGCGGGAAGTCAAAGTGCTGCCAAAACAAAACAGCGGCTCTGCGTTTGTCTTACCGGGGAATGGCTGCAACAGCGCGCACACAGTGGAAATACACACGGGATATTGCTATAAATATTAGTCTATTTATATTGATATTATTATATCTATACTAATTATATTTATAGTAATAAATACAAGATATATATATTTAATAAAAACAATTTAATATATTAATTATATATTTTACATATAATATATATGTAGTATATATATAAAATATATATTTTATATATATATAAATATATATAAATATATAAAATATATAATATTATATATTTTACATATAATATATATAATCTCTATAAATATATGTAAGTATTATATATAATGTTATTAAATATATAAATATATTTAATAAAAACAATTTAATATATTAATTATATATTTTAAATATAATATATATGTAGTATATATATAAATATATATATTATATATATAAATATATATATAAATATATAAAATATATAATATTATATATTTTACATATAATATATATAATCTCTATAAATATATATAAGTATTATATATAATGTATATCATTAATATATTAAATTGTTTTTATTACTATATATTTCTCTTGTATTTATTACTATAAATATAATTAGTATAGATATAATAATATTAATATAAATATAATAATATTTATAGAAATATTCTGTGTATATTCCTATATATATTAATATATATACTATATATATATTTCTATATATACTAATAGTATATATACTATTAGTATATTATATTTATAGTAATTATTTTTTAATAATAAAATACGTAATAAATATATTTAATAAAATATATTTAAGATATTTATTATATATTATATATATAATATATTATATACATTATATATGTAATATATATAGTATAGAACAAATTTCTTAAATATATTTTAAAAAGATATTTTAGATATNCACTCCCAGGTACCAAAGCCCTCCAAGGAAGGAATTCCCACCATCCCCAGGTACCAAAGCCCTCCAGGGAAGGAATTCCCAGCACGCCCAGGTATCCCAAAGCCCTCCAAGGAAAGAATTCCCAGCACTCCCAGGTACCAAAGCCCTCCAAGGAAGAATTCCCACCATCCCCAGGTACCACAACACCCCAAGGAAGGAATTCCCACCATCCCCAGGCACCACAGCACCCGAGGAAGGAATTCCCAGCACTCCCAGGTTTCCCAAAGCACCCCGAGGAAGGAACTCCCACGATCCCCAGGTACCAAAGCACCCCGAGGAAGGAACTCCCAGCACCCCCAGGTTTCCCAAAGCCCTCCAAGGAAGGAATTCCCACCATCCCCAGACACCAAAGCCCTCCAAGGAAGGAATTCCCAGCACTCCCAGGTTTCCCAAAGACCTCCAAGAAAGAATTCCCAGCACTCCCAGGCACCAGAGCACCCCAAGGAAGGAATTCCCAGCACTCCCAGGTACCAAAGCCCTCCAAGGAAGGAATTCCCAGCACTTCCAGGTACCACAGCCCTCCAAGGAAGGAATTCCCACCATCCCCAGGTACCAAAGCCCTCCAAGGAAGGAATTCCCAGCACTCCCAGCTTTCCCAAAGCCCTCCAAGGAAGGAATTCCCAGCACTCTCAGGTTTCCCAAAGCACCCCAAGGAAGGAACTCCCAGCACTGCCAGGCACCAAAGCATCCCAAGGAAGGAACTCCCACGATCCCCAGGCAGCAAAACCCTCCAAGGAAGGAATTCCCACCATCCCCAGGTACCAAAGCCCTCCAAGGAAGGAATTCCCAGCACTCCCAGGTTTCCCAAAGCCCTCCAAGGAAGGAATTCCCAGCACTCCCAGGTTTCCCAAAGCCCNCCTGCACAAGGCATCAGAGAGAAAAGGCAAAACTCCAGTGGTAAATAAGGAACAGGAAGAATGAAACTGGAGATCACTCACCTCATCTGACTTGAAGCTCTTGCCCTGCATGCCGTGTTTCCAGAAGGCCAGCACGCTGTCCTGAAGGCACACTGCAAAGCAGGGACACATCACACCCACTCCCTCCATCCCTTTCCCCAGAGCCTCTGGGGAACCCTCAGGAAGTGTAAAAACAAACAGCGCCAAGCAAAGCATGTGGGCTGCTGGAAATGACACATCACCTGAATTATTACACTCATTTCCAAACAGAGGAATGATGGAAAACTCCCAGAAAATGGGAGTTTTCCATTCAGGGATGGAGAGAGCACAGAGCTGCCAGCTCTGAGTGATTTAATTCTGTGATTCTGAGAGTTTATGACAGCAGAAATTCCTGCTTGACAACTACAATTTAAAAAAACCTCCTGTCCCAGTCTAAAGACAGCAGCTTGAGAATTTGATTCAAATATTATTACCTTGACTACGAAAAAAATGGATGTGCTATTACTTGAAATAAAATCTTAACTTTTAGAAGGCTAACCCAGATTTATTTATTACTAAACCACTTTTTCCTGCCCAAGTTTTGTTTCATTGCTATGGAAATGACCAGAAACCAGTCAGGCTTTCAGGAGTGAGTTCTGAAACCCCTGAGAGACCCCAGAGCAGCAAATCACTCACCCACTGACTCGATGCAGAAATCAAAGCTCAGCTCAGAAGCCAACTTCTTGCTTGACTTCAATTTCCCTTGTAAATTCACTATTTTCACAAATTCTCAAGAGAAAGAGAAAAATCAGCATTAAAACCCACTGCGGGATTTAATTGTAAAATACAAATTTAATCTTTTAGGCACAAAGAAATATTCAAATTTAACATCTACAACATTTGCTAAAATGAATCCAAGAGCATCTTTGTCTCAAAATAAATATAAAATAAATATCTGTAACACTTGGGGTGGTTTTACACTGACAGAGTGATGCACACATGAAGAGACAAAGTGGAATTACAAAATCCAGAATGAAATCCCACTTATCCCATCTATCTTTATGGAAATATTACAACACAAATTAATAATGTAGGGAGAAAAAAAAAGAAACCAAACTCGTGGTGAAGTTGAAATCAACAACTGTGGCAACCCAAGTTCTGCACGAGGTGTGGTGAGCTAGCCAAGGGAATTTGTGTTACTCACTGTCCAGGCAGACCAGGACTGTGTCTCTCTCCAGCTGTGTCACGTGAATGGCATCCAACTGCTGATTGCCTGGGAAAAAAACAGATTATTTTATATTTTATATTTTATATTTTAGAGACTCTGCTTCCCCCCCCTCAAGCTCTTTTCAACTCTGCTCTTGTTACTCTGATTTTTATTTTTTTTTTAACTCTGATTTTTAGAGGCTGTAAGATCCCAGAATGTTCTGGGAGGAGCACAAAGTTCTCTGTTCAAAGCAGGTATTTAATAGAAAAACACAACTTTTACTGGATAAAACACATTTTAAGCTATGGTTCAGCACAGCTTCCTCCATAGAGAGGCACCACAATAAACAAAAGGACTTTTAATTCCTGAAAACCCACTCTTTTCCCATAAATCCACATCTGGAAACATTTTTGTGATGATAATAAACAAGTTTAAGAGATTTTTTTTTTTCTAATTTTACTAATGAAGTTGTTCCTACAGCTGCTAAAAAGCAGCAACATTTAAAGGTAAAAATGGACATCCAACAAAGGCAAAGGAGAAAAGCAGCTGCAAAATATCAACTGGGTCTTAAAAATAACCCAAATCTTTGCTGAAGATAACAACCCTCCCCCAAGGGCTGGAGGATGGACAAGAATCATTTCTGGGAGTTGTTATGCAGGAAAGGAGAGCAAAGAGCAGGGTCCCAGGAAGGAGCTTGGAACCACAAAGGAGACCCCAACCAGCAGGGTCTGACTGATGTTTAAAGGAATTCAGAAAATAAAAGATTTTTTTGTAAGGACAGTTTGTACTGATGTGGGGCAGAACAGCACAATGGAGAATTGGGGAATTAGAGAATAAATGGGATTGGAAATAACCTTAAATCCCATCCCATCCCATCCCATCCCATCCCATCCCATCCCATCCCATCCCATCCCATCCCATCCCATCCCATCCCATCCCATC